GTATCAAACTACACATAGTTTGACACTCATTTTCAAAAACACATGTTAAATGCACCTGCAATTCACTGTTTTACTCTAAAAAAGCAAACCACATGTAGGTATGATGGCGCTGCGATATTTCGCCCACGTGTGCTTGTGTTTACTGTATCAAATTACACATCGTTTAACTCTCATTTTAAAAAACACGTGTATAACGCACCTCTTTTACTCCAGAATACCAAACCACATGTATGTGATGCAGCTGCGACATCAAATGACATGTGGGGTATCAAATTACCGAACACCTGCGAAATGGGGAGGAGAAATCAAAAAGTCTATAATCTCTTACTAATATGCAAGCAAAATTCGGAACAAAACGACGATACCAAGAAGCTGTACCTATGAATCTACGAATCTCATTGACATTTTTGGGGGTCGGGATATTTAAAATCGCTTGCACCTTTTCCGGATCTGGCCTCAAGCCATCACGATCCACAATATAACCAAGATATAACAATTGCGACATGCAAAATTTGCACTTGTCCAAAGAAAGAACCAATCCTGCCTCACGCAATCTATCCAACACAACTCCCAGCAAACGAAGATGTTCCTCGAAAGTTTCACTGATCAGAATTACATCATCCAAGTAAACCATCACTTTAGGCTGAAGATCTGCCCCCAAAGCATTATCCACGATACGTTGCCAAGTTGCTGGCGCGTTGGTCAAGCCAAAAGCCATTCGGCAAAATTGGAAAAGTCCCCTCCCAGGTACAGTGAAGGCAGTAAATTCACTTTTAAGGACAACAAGAATAAGATAGCCAGGCATTGTTCAATAAATATTCATCTGCAATGGTCAACTAAATCATTAGACAAATGATAAGGAGCAAAATCTTGGCTTGCTGTGCCTGAAATTGTCTAAAAAGATACAGAGTAAGGTAATTAATATCCAATCAATTAAGTCAGCTTTAAAATAATATTTGTGTGTTACCAGTTAAAACGCTGAATTACTCATTTAATGGGAAGAGCAAAATTAAAATGTTACAACTGGCGCCCAACGTGTTCTTTGAGAAAGAAATAGGGGTTAGCATTTTGACAATCCCCCTATTCCTGTTTTAAGCGTCCCGCTTATTTTTCTCCTAATTTTCTCCGGAAAATTAGACGAAAATCCTATTAATAAAAGTTTTCGCGTCTGCCAGGTGTTGAGATTTTTGGTGAAAATGAAGCGCAAAGGTTCCAAAAGGAGTGGCAAATTGGAGGACGACAATGTCCAAACCGAAGACGAGCCTCAAGAGAAAAGAGGCAGGAAAAAATCCAGAGCTTCCGAGCCCCGTCATTCAGATGATGAAAGTCCGAGCCCTAGCACAAGTAATGGGAGCTCGGACAAAAAAGGTCGCAGATCAGGAAGACAATCCTTGCCCAAAAAAACTCATGATGAAGATGAAGCTTAGTCTTCGGATGATGAAGTGCTTGCCACCAAAGTGAGTCCAAATGGCGATTCTTCAGAGAAGAAGAAAAAGGAAAAAAAAAAAATCAAAAGGCAAACCATCTAAGAAGAAACAAGCCGAAGTACCTGAGGAGTCTGGGGAGTCTTCAGATGATGATGAAGTGCTTGCCACCAAAGTGAGCCAAAATGGTGATACTCCAGAAAAGTAAGATCAAAAAGCAAACCAACTAAAGGGAAACAAGCCAAAGAGGCTGAGGATGAGGAGTCCACTGCAGAAAAGGATCCTCTCGCCGACGATGACGAGGAAGGAGGGGACGATTCAGAGTATGAGGTCGAGAAAATAATCGATAAAAAAATCACCAAAGGTGTCACATCTTATCTAATAAGATGGAAAGGATACGGACCAGACAGTGACACCTGGGAACCCGAAAATACTCTCGATTGTGCCGAATTGATCGAGGAGTTCAAAAAGAAACAGAAATCGAAATCGAAAAAGGACGATAAAGCCGGTAAAAAGAAAAAACCCTCCAAAAAAGATGATGAACCAGAAGAGTCCTGGGATGAAAACGAAGATTTCGAGGTTGATCGAATTCTCGATGTTTACTTTCACAAAAATGGCAAAAAGGATTTTTTGGTTTCGTGGAAAGGGTACGGCTCTTCGTCGAATTCTTGGGAACCTGAAGACAACATGGACTGCAAGGACTTAATCGCGAAATACATGGAAAAAGTAGATAAAGCGAGACAATTTGAGAGCAAGGAAACAAGATTAAGAGAAAATCCTAAAAAGGTTGCCAGACTGACTATTGAAATGCACAGTTCGGAGAGGAAATTGAGTAGAAGACACCGAGGACAAGGTGGAAGGAGACACTACTTTGTTGCTGAATAGTTATAAAACTATCACCACTGCCCCCTTATTTTGTTTTGTAATTTTAAATTTCAGTTTACCACAATTATTCATCAGCGAAACCATTTTAATTGCAACGTTTTCACAATATTATTGTAACTTCTTATTCAGAATCTCAATTCATAAAAAAATCTTCTACAAGGAGAAAAGTTTATTATTACAAATCCTAATACTAACACCATAATATAATCTGATAATTTGGTATTTTTTGAAAAATTGTTATCAATAGGTATAAAATGTAACTAAGTGAAAGAGTATTGAAATGTATGAGTTTTGTAGGAAATTCATTGTAAACATTTTGAGCTGAGTCATTAGTTTTTCTTAAAATAAACCAAGATTAAATGTGGTTTTGTGTGCGTTTTTGATCAGCAGATTTTAGTTTTTTATTAGAATAGATCCCAAAAAGAAGTATGCAATATTCTTCAAGGACGAAGATCTTTATATTCCTCTCAGCAACATTCTTCAAGGAACTTTCAAAAATTCTGCATTTGACTTGATTAAATGCAACTTTCTCCTAGAAGATGTCAATAGCAAAGAAAGACAAAATGAGATAATCCAGGCCTACCATCAAGGGAAAACAAATCATAGAGGAATCAACGAAACCGAAGCACAAATCCGAAAGAAATATTACTGACCTAATCTCAAAAGAGATATTGAAAATATCATAAATGTTTGCGACACCTGTCAATCTAACAAATACGATAGAAATCCAGCCAAACCTAAATTTATGGTTACACCAACACCAACTAGACCTCTGGAAATTATTCATCTTGATACCTTTCAAGCCGGAGGGCAAAAGTTTTTGACGGTTATTGATTCCTTCTCAAAATATGGACAAGCCTACCCCGTAGAGGGATCAAATTCAGTGAACGTTCTTAACGCTCTCCTAGTCTTCATTACTCACCATGGAATACCACACATGATAGCCACCGATAGTGGAACAGAATTTAAGAATGGACTTGTACAGGAATTTATGGATACACATAAGATCGCCATCCATTATACTACCCCTGATAACCCACAATCCAACGGGATGATAGAAAGATTCCACTCCACCATCATCGAACATCTGAGGATACTTCGAGAAAAAAATAAATCCTTGAGCGTTAAAGAACAGATGCCATATGCACTTCTCGGATACAATAACTCTATCCATTCAATGACAAACATGCGACCAATGGATATACTGACTGGTCACCTGAATGCACAGGATCCGTTTGACCTTGACGTCAGGAAAACACTTATAAATAATTATACCCAGCAACACCGGGAAAAAACGAAGGCTATCTACAGGGAATTGAACCAGAAGTTACATGAATCCAAAGAGAAGTACATAGGGAAAAGAAACTTGACCAGGCAAACCCCGCTAACCTACAAACCCAGCACCAAGATCTACACCAGGAAGACTCTAAAAAGGAACAAATTACTTCCATCAAGATTCTCTCCCAAGACAGTTCACACTGACAATATTGTGACCATTGACACTCAAGACAAGACAATACATAAAAAAGAATATCAAAAATCTTCCAGGGAATAACTCTAGAAATTCCTTACAGATGTTCCTCAACCGTCGCCCAGAACCTCCTGATCCAAGACTTGAAGGACAACCCAGGAATACTTCCCCTCAAGCTGGGACGAGCAAGAATTCAGAGTAATACCCACGACTTTATTCAGTTTTTCGACCTCTTCCCAGTAGTTAAGGAACTCCAGTCTCTGGAAGAACAGTACGAATCAGTAAGAACAGCAATAGAAAATGGATTGAGTCACCCATATTTCAAAAGCATGCAGAATTTCGATCAAAGTTTACAATTTCTGCTCAAAGCCGCCAAAGAAAAACTTCGTACCATCATACCCATTCAAAGATCCAGAAGAGGAATTTTTAACGGTCTCGGTGTTATTAGAACCATATCTGGAAACCTGGACCACGGAGACGCCCAAAGATACGACGCCGCAATCGCAACATTGCAACATAGCCATATTTCCTGGGCCTACTAAAGTATCAACTCGTTGCCCAACAACCACGATAATGATTCTCAAAGGAGTATTCCTAATCAGCTTACCACCAGGATGCGAATTCAGAACTTCTAATGAGAACTTCTTGAATGAGAAAACTGTTATCCAAGAAGAGCCGTTAACACTTCCCAGAATACACACAAGAAATGATGATCGGCAACCCCAAGTGATGCCTCTGAAACTCTCTCGGGTACCCCTGGATGAACTTCACAAATTAATAAGGGCAGAAGAACACCTAGAACCAATCCAAGCCGAAACACAATCAACAAGTAACTCTCACTTCTGGATAACACCTTTGTATATTTTAGGTACAATTCTGGTACTAGTCGTCTGCTACAAATTTAAACAGAGATGGAACCTAGGAAGAAAAAGGAATCCCAACAAGAACCTTAGGACACCAAAAGAAGAAACAAACCCCGAAGAAGAGGACCCAACAGTTTTGTTCGTCCCTTACAAAACTTCCCCCGGGAAAGGAGAAATTACGGATCAATGACCCCATATATCTGGAATACCACCGAATATCATTGAACCTATGGGTCAGCAGCGGCAACTCGATATTAGCAACATAAGCAACCTAAATTCGATGTACTTCGATTAAATTCGATTGCTAAGCTAAGCAATATTTTATATATAAATTGTAGGCAATTAAATGTTAGAATTAGTTCCAATTTACATTGTGTTCTCGTAATAAATATTATTTTTAATTAAAGGGCTTTTTAAAAACACCCTTTTCCAGGGAAAACCCTTAATTTGCTTAACACGAGAGCTGAAATTTTCAGGGATTGTTTGTTTCAAATTCCTTTTTGCAAATTCCGCAAAAAAAAATCCATTTTCCTTTGCTACTTGAATCTAACACATTTGATCATTTATTGCTTTTATTTTAGATATCTTTCAGAGGGGGAACTGAAAATCCCACCAATGGAAAAGCTTTAGCAAAGTAAGCAATTATTATATACAAAAATCCTAGTCAAATTGCAAACCTCTTTAATTCCTTTTTCATTAATATACCCTTGAAAATCCAAGAAAATCAGAATATAAATAGAATACCCCAGCACAATGTTGTATCTAGGATTGAGAGTACCATTTTCTTACACGATGTTTCAGAGACTGAAATGATGCAAGCAATTAATAATTTAAAAAATACAAACTCAACCGGCCCTGATGAATTCTCATCATCTTTAATTAAAAGCTGTAAAGATCAACTATGTAAACCCCTTTGCTCTCTTCTAAACTTGTGTTTTTCAGAGGCAACATTTCCAGACTGTTTGAAAGTATCTAAAGTTATCTGCTTGCATAAAAAAGATAATACAAATGATATGGGAAACTATCGCCCTATATCGCTTTTATCAACATTCTCAAAAATATTTGAAAAAATTATATCTAAACGCATTTTAAACTTTTTAAATTCAAATAATCTAATATCAAATACCCAGCATGGTTTCCGCGACAAAAGATCGACTATTTCTGCACTATGTTATATTTTAGATAATGTCTATAAAAATCTAGACAAAAGCAAGAAAGTTATGGCACTATTTGTGGACTTAACTAAAGCTTTTGACTGTGTGGACCACGGCCTGCTTTTGCAAAAACTTCAATCCTACGGAATTCGTGGTAACTGTTACTCATTATTAAAATCATATCTCTGTAATCGTAAACAATATGTGCAATGTAATGGAGCTATGTCTGACCAGTTAAATGTTGAGGTTGGTGTACCACAGGGTAGTGTTCTTGGTCCCCTCCTATTTCTCATGTACGTGAATGATATATCGGATATCTTAACAACTTTGCATTGTGAATTTGCTGATGATATTACACTTTTATCTTCTGATCTCAATGAACAAATTATGAAAAAGGGTTTGACAGATAACCTGCATTTTTTATCTAATTATTTTTGTAATAATAAACTGGTGCTTAACCAGGCAAAGACTTACACAATGCAATTTCATCCTTATGAGGCAAATTACAATAAAAGTCAATACATTCTCTTGAATGGCAGATCAATAAGGCAGGTTAATACTGTGAAACTTTTGGGTATCCATGTTGACATGTCATTAAACTGGAGAGAGCAGATAAATTATGTATGCAATAAGTGTGCAAAGAGTTGTTTTGCTTTATATCGTCTGTCTCAAATAACAAGTAGAAGCACTGTAAGAGTGTTTTATTTTTCAATTATTGAATCATGTATTAGATATGGGATTGTGCTTTGGGGTGCAACCTCTGCTTCACAGAGAGTCTTTATAATGCAAAAAAGGCCTATTCGATTAATGTATAATATGAAGTTTAGGGAATCTTGTAGACAAAAATTTATTTCTGAAAAAATCATGACTATGCCTTGTTTATACATTTTCGAAATCTTGAAATTTGTAAGGGATAACTCAAATGCTTTTAAAGCTCTAAATCTGCATCATGATTACACAACTAGATTTGGACTTGATTATCAATATGACGTTCATCGTCTTGAGCTTTACAAAGCAAATCCTTACTACATAGGGGCTATTTTGTATAACAAGATACCTATTAGCAAACGTCAATTAAATCAGAATGAGTTCTTATGTTTTATTAAAAATATTTTATTGGAAAATGCATTCTATACAGTGGAGGAGTTTCTAAACTTTACGCAGTGGAAGATATGAAAGAATACTTCATAAAAATTGTAATAGGTATATTATTTGATTATTCTTATGCTTATTGTTATAAATAGGTATTTAATTATTTATAATGTTACGTTATTGATTAGTATGTAATGCAAATTTTATCTGTAAATATTTTCCTATATCCTGTATGTGATCCTTGGAAATAAACATCTATCTATCTATCTATCTATACCTACAACTAATTTTTAAATATTGATGATTTTTTTTTTAAGGCACAAACTCAACAAAGTCTTTGATGACGACAACGATTACTTTAAAGTCAACGCTAGAGAAGCTAATGAAGATAAACGAAAAATCGTCGTTGCTTTGGATTTTGCTAGCAGAAAAGTAATCGAAAGTACCCAAGAAGACGAAAGACTAAAAAACTTATTCTTAAAAGCTTCAATCCAACATATGAAGAAAGTGGAAGCCCTTCATAAGAACTTGCAAAAAGAAAGCGAATTGAAATCCAGTGCATCAGTTCTAGCTCAAAAAAATGTAAAGATTTCACTTAAGTACATATAGCTTTTTTTTCAATTAATGTCTTTCTTTTCTAGAAATCTAACAACGAACTGGCAGAGCTATTGGTACAAATGCGGCACAAAAAACCCAAAGAAAAGGAAGACTTAGGAGAAGAAGACGAGAAGATGCCAATAATAAAGTACAACACTAAAATGTTGGACGAAGTTGCTCCATTTACCGACCAAGGGCTTTGTTTGAGCATGCACCAGCCTTATGCTAGCTTATTGGTTGCTGGAGTAAAAATGTAAATTGCAATTTGAAAATAATCAATAAATATCTTTGAATGTTTTTTAGGGATGAAGGTAGAGTTTGGCCAACAACTCACAGAGGTCGGTTATGGATAGCTGCAGCTGCAAAAGAGCCAGACGAAGAGGAAGTTTTAGCTTTGGAGAATTATTACAGGGAATTTTATAAAGGTTTGAATTATTGCAATAATATTGGTTTTTTCAAGGGGTTGGTGCAAACAATTCCTCAAAGGGGAATTTTTTTCGCATAATTTCTCAAAATTCCTGCAAATTTTTCCAGATACCCCATCACAAATTCCTCCAAATACCCCACCACGAACTTCTCCAAATACCCCACAAATTCCTCTAAAAAAAGGGAAAATTTTAAAACTCTCTGCATGTAAAGAGAAAGGTGAGAAGATTAATTACCCAAAATTTAAAAGTTTTGCAGTGGCATGAAAAATCTTAAAAATCAACTTATACAAACTGAATTAGTTGAAAAGACAGTCTCCCACATTTCAAAGTTTTCCTGGAAAACTAGTAAAGGGAACTTTTTGAAACTTTTTGCATGTAAAGAGGAAGGTGAGAAGCTCATTTTCCCAACATTTCAAAATTTTCCAATGGAAAATAGCAACATGAAAAATCTTGGAAATCAACCTGCAATAACTGAATTAATTAATAATACAGTTTCACACATTTCAAAGTTTTCTTGGAAAACAAGTGGAGGAAACATTTTGAAACTTTTTGCATGTTAAGAGGAAGGTGAAAAGCTCATTTTTTTCAAAATTTCCCAGTGGAAAACAGCAACATGTTAAATCTTGGAAATCAACCTACAATAACTGAATTTATTGAAAATACAGTCTCACACATTTTATAGTTTTCCTGAAAAACTAGTGAAGGCAAAAATTTTAAGCTTTTTGCATGTAAAGAGTAGAAAGGTTGAAGGCTCATTTTCCCAAAATTTCAAATTTTTCTAGTGGAAAATAACAACATGAGGAATATTGGAAATCAACCTACAATAACGGAATTAATTGAAAATACATTGTCACATATTTCAGAGTTCTCCTGGAAAACTAGTGAAGGGAAAATTTGAAACTTTTTGCATGTAAAGAGGAAGGTGAAAAGCTCATTTTCCCAAAATTTCAAAATTTTCCAGTGGAAAACAGCAACATGAAAAATCTTGGAAGTCAACCTACAAAAACTGAATTAGTTGAAAATACAGTCTCACACATTACAAAGTTTTGCTGGAAAACTAGTGAGCGAAAATTTTGAAACTTTTTGCATGGAAAGAGGAAAGTGAGATGCTCATTTTCCCAAAATTTCAAAATCTTCTAGTGGAAAACAGCAACATGAAAAATCTAGGAAATCAACCTACACAAACTGAATTAGTTGAAAATACAGTCTCCCACATTTCAAAGTTTTCATGGAAAACTAGTGAAGGGAACATTTTGCATGTAAAGAGGAAGGTCAGAAGCTCATTTTCCCAAAATTTCAAAATTTTCCAGTGAAAAACAGTAACATGGATAATTTTGGAAATCAACCTACAAAAACTGTATTCATTATTCTTTTGAATGTTTTAGTTTTGACAATTTTCTTTAAATTCCTCATAAATTCCTCACAAATTTTCCCAAATTTCCCATAAATTCCTCTAAATTCCCCACATTTTTGGCAAAGAATTCCCAGGTGGTTTGCCCCTTGGTTTTTTCGGTGGCGTTTCAAAATTTGGAAAATCTTGCTCGTTCCGCAGCCATTAACTCATTAATCAGTCGTTCTGATATAAAAATAAGGTGTTTTTGAATTAATGCATGCAAAAATGATTCAAAAAATGTTTTTCTTAAGTTAATGCATGCAAAAATACATTTCAAAATCTTTAAGCTTCAATATCTTGAAATCCGTGATAGAAATTGAATCAAAATTTTCAGGAATTTCAGCTCCTCTTAAGCTCTAAAAAACCTGTATTGGAACATATTTTCAGGCATGTATACTCCTGAACAAAATTATCGCACTACTGCATATAGTACTACCATAAACAGTGGTGCGATAATTTTGTCCAGGATTATATTTTTAGAGAAATTTGAGTTTGAAGTTTTATTGAATAAAATTCAACTTTGAGGCTCAATTGTTCAAAAAGTATTTCAGCCATCAGACTTAATTTAGCATAGATTTATAGAGAATTTAATGCCCTTTTCAATATTTCATAATTTACAATTGACAATTTTTCAAATTTCTAAACGGCTTTTTGGTGAACAATTGATTTAAACCACCCTGTATCTTTTATAATTACCGACATCCCCATATTAATTTTAGATGATATGTTGAAATTTCCAAAAGAATATCCTACTGGTTGCCTACTGGGATGTGTGACTGTTGAAGATTGTTTGGATCAGGAAGCTTATAAGGAAACATATGGAAGGGAAGCTAGTAGTCCTTATATGCTTGTGTGCAGTAATCCTATTATTTTGCCTGTGTTTTATCCCATTAGTGGCAAAAATAAAATTTATCCACTCGATAAGGAGATACACAAGTATGCCAAAATCGCTTTACAATACAGCCAATATTAGGAAGAAAAATAAATTATTCGATATTCTATACAGCTATTTATTGTTTTATTTAAATAATAATCACATTTTTCATAAGTAATACTTAAGTAGAAAACAATTCAACAAGAATATGTATTTTTCAATTATTATTGATAAAATTTACAAATATTGTTTTCACTATAGGCTTGATAAATTTACCTAATAAATAAATATAAACTATATAATTAATAAGTACTTGTAGTTATCATAATTTAAAAACAATTCAATTATTGCAAAAGCACATTTAAAGCGACAATTCAAATGCATTATATTTAGGTAGTAAAATGGGGTAGAAAATTCACTAAATTGAGAACAAAAATTTCCATTTTGAGGATCACAGCATTTGGAAAAAGGGGGTATTTTTATTTTTCATATACAGTTTGTCCAACAGATTGTATACAAAAATACTCATTGGCAGTATTGAATATTAGATCATTTAATTTATTGTCTTTTTAACTTAATTATTTATTACATTGGAACACTGAAAGAAGGATTTAGTTATATTAACCTAAAATTAGTGACTATTACTAAATCGCTTATTGAAATATGGCTTATTAAACCTTTGGTCACAACACACAAATTATTTGTTTAAAATTTGAGAATAAAGCACTTATTTAATGATATACTCTATCCAATAATGGTTAATTAACGCATATTAATAATAAATAAATATTTTGTTCTCTGAAGTTAGTGTTTGCTTCTGGATTTTCTGTCTTTACTAATAGTAAATTGATCATATTTTTCAAAAATATACGTTTGTTAATAATAAATTCTGGTTTCTTCTGCTGGATTAAATATAACTTTATATTTATTACCAGTAAGTAAACAATACTTGATTCAAATAATCATTTATTAATAGTAAAAAACGTTTATTCGTAAATATTATTTAGCTTTGTTACAGTTAATTTGGAATTATTTACCATAAGTATTTTTTTCTCTAAGCCCGGTTGTACAATTGAAGCCTATCATGGCTTAGTTAAGCTTTCTGGTACTTGAAACCTTCCCATTTAAAATGCACAGCTGTAAGATTTGACAACTCGTTGACAGTAATGCATTTTAAATAGGAAAGTACAAGTAACAGTTAGGCTTTAATAAGCCACGATTTATAAGCTTCGATTGCACCACTGGGCCTTAGTTTGTTCCTGGGGAATAGGGCACTCTGAAATAATTAAAAACGAACCGATCTTTTTTTAAATTAATTTTTCTTCGGTAGGCTAGATTCTCACATAGGTAACATAATTTTGTTGAAGAACATAGCAACATGGCGGGTGTACATGCGGCGATCTGTGAATGTAATAATGAACTATAACTCGATTATCTTCTCAGGTGTAACAGGAAAAAAAGGTGAATACAAAGTTGCTTGGTACCTATTAATTAACTGGCGCTTCTTCAGAAAATATTATTACGTTTGCAGTTTTATAAAACAACTTCCGCATCACCATCACAGCACGTTTCCAAAAACCGTTGTAATTCGACACTGTTGTGTTCCGCCACGCTATCTTCCACGATTTAATAATTATTACACTCAGAGCTGGGATAATATCATTTATAAGTTGACTGTTAACTTTGTATTTCGCCGAAGCACGCCAGAATAATGCAAACGTAGGGAGTCGGTGGAACAGATAAAACATAGGTCAAGGTGTTTCTTCTTTCACGCCTCGAAGCTAAAAGAACGAATCACAAATATAGGCGATAGACAGTGCGGACGGTGGCGGGTGTACCAACGTTTGTTTACTGATATTATAATTTATGTATGGAAAATAAGGATTTATTATTAGAAACCAAGGAACAAGTTGAAATTTCAACTAAACTGTGTTAAAATGGAACATTATATATTTATTAATCTATAATTACCATTTGTTTATAATTACTAAACCAGAACATTCTGTTAATAAATTATATTTATAAAACCCTTGCAAATCAATGTAAGAAATATTTTGTTCATTATTAATAAACATTGTTTGATATAAGAAAATGAGTCCTAATAAATCATTTGTATTTTATAAATAACTATTTTTAACAGTCATATTTTTAATTACCAATTTAATGTATTTCTTACCAATGCATATTAATTATAATATTGGTTTGGTATTTTTAACCAAATTTGTCAGAAACAAATATTTATTTATTATAATCTCGAATTTTTTTTCAGTGAATGATCTAATATTTTCCACACTCTAAAACAATTTTTTAAACTCCTATAGCTGTGGTCCTATTATTCCCATGTCCATTTAAATCGGAATGCTCTGAGGACTCGTGTAGAGAAAAATCTTGCCTGGAAAAAGACAAAAAAATTAATATAATTTTTTTTTATAAAATGAGCAAAACACAATAAGCAACAATGAACTTCTAGAAATAGGCACCTACTTCATATTTAGTACTTAAGTATTAGTTTGAGGAATTTTTGAACAAACATTATTAATGGTCTGATAAAATTCAAAATTGTTTTTTTGATGAGATAATTTCCAAAAATCAAGGTATTTCTATTTATAATTATCGATTTATGGTTTGATATCAAAAAATGTCCACCCACACAAAAATCTATTTTTGCAATAATATACCACAAGCATTTAATATTGTTAGTAATAAGCGGCGTGTATAAATTAATTCCTAAAGACAATTGGACAATGATAATTGGTAATTTGAATCTAAAAATGTCCAATTGACTTCAATTAAAAAATATATGCAGATAAATACCTCATAGTCAAAAGCCCTAAATCGGTATGTAAGTGTCTCTTAAATTTTTATCATCGTCGGCCCGAAACCGTGCAAAGTAAATGGCCTGCAATCCTGCAAAATTATATAAAATTAGACCATCGGAGAAAATTTTACACAAATTACATGCAAATACCAAAGTTAAATCTTACAATTATGATTGCTTCGATGCTGCCAAGAAGTAGACCGCATAAAACATCACTCCAATGATGTTTGTAGTCGGAAACTCTGGTCATTGCCGTGAAAACTGAAGAGAGAACCGCCAAGAATTGGAGAGTGTGTCTGACGAGTTTCGAGCCGTCCCATGTCATACGTTTTTGAAGATATATCTGGAATTAGTAGGCTTATTCACGGATTTTGGCTTTGATTATTCTAGATAATTTGAAGATTCTTTAGGCATCCAGATTGTAATCTATGTCTTGCAGATTTAGGATGTCTTTGAAGGATTACTTCTACTCTAGACTGTAGACTAAATTATAAGACAATATTCTAGATAGGCAAGAAAAGAATAATGAAAAATTGACAAATTATAAACAAACAACTTTTATCCAAATTAATTTAAAAATATTTTATTTCCAGAACTACTTAGGTAGGTACTTATCTTACATCATCATACAATTTCTTTTTAGTTCTAAAAATGCTCGAGTGCAAATATTCAACAAAGAAACTTTATCTAATCTAGATGAAAGTGACAAAATTCTCAGCAAATGTACCTACCTACTTAAGGCTTTAAGATATAGTATTTTGTCGACCTTGTATTAGCTTTTGATAAGATAAATGAGTAAATAACATCGTTCTACATAATAATAATGTGCTTAGAGTTATTTTCAAATAGGCAAGATTCAGATACATATGTAACACAACATTTTGCAAATTTAACAACATACCTACCTTCTTACTAAAACGATGCAATTTCAATTTTTTTTTTTTTGAGATTTTGTATCCTAATGGTCAAGTAACATACCCCAAACTCCATACACTAAATTATTCTCAGATTTGAAGCCGAAATCTAAGCAAAAAGGCACTCAGGATAATCGAAAAATTGATAAATCACCCTAAATTGCTTGACACGATTTTATCTCAGGAACTACAAGTGCAAATGAGCTGAAATTTTCAGAGATTGTAGTCCCTTTATTGAGATAAGATTCAGTGAAAATTTCAGCTTTCTAATAGAAAAAAAGTTATGTTCCACCTTCCAAAATTTTCCACAATCTAAATCATAAGGTAGCTTACCTACATAGTCAACTTTTTAATCATTTTTACAGTATCGTAAAGCATAAAGAACTAAAATTACTATGCCTATAATTTTCATTATTCCAAGTTTATCTACATCTTGCTCGTAAATAACTTATTGGTACTTATCAGACTTGCAAAGGCATTTATTCAAATTCCAAAAGAAGATTATAATTATTTTAAAACCACAAGAAATTCTCATTCATGAAAACTTCACACGAGCCTTGTTAGCCAGAGTATAATATATAATGACAGAGATCATAATGAATATATTACGTTATTCACGAGGCTTGATAATACCCTCTGCGTGTAAAATCAATTTCGAGATTCGTGCGGTAAAGAGGAGGTGCCAAAGAATGTATAATTTTATCTATAGATACTTGTATATGGCCTGAGGTCAACTTTATATATACAGAGTGAAAATTTTGTATTGTAATATAACCACATCTTATCAAACTAGATTTTTTGAATTTATTTTATGAATCAGGCTACTTACCGCAAAATAAGTCATAGTAAACATAGAAAAGGAAGAATGTCCCGATGGAAACGAAAGCCTCATTTCCTTCATCACTCTCTTATTGAACATGTACGAAGGATTCGTACATGAAAAATTTGTGTGATAAACATTTTGACTGCTGGCCAGGGTGCAGTCTATACTCGGTTGGCAAACCGTGTAAAAATGAGGCCTCAGTCTTCCTATATAAAAAATTGAAAACTAGCTTTTTGTTGAGCAGAAAATAAATATATTTTTTTTTACCAATAGTGTATTTCATTACGTCGGTTGTTAGTTGTGAACAAGCGGCACCAAAGGCCATCATGCCGATGGCGCAATAGGCGTTGTACACCCAATAAGGAATGTTTCTTCCCATGAAATAGAAAGTTTTGCCATCGTTTGGTCTGTTGAGGATTTCTGTCAGTAACATCTGGAAAAGAAAAGACTTTCAATTAGGGCTCGGAATTGTATTCGAATAATTCGAATATTCGACTATTCGACTATTCTAAATTCGACTTTTTTGTTCGTTAGCAAATTCGACTATTCGACTATTCGAATATTCGACTATTCGACTATTCGAATATTCGACTATTCGAATAGTCGAATATTCGAATATTCGACTATTCGAATATTGGAATATTCGACTATTCGATTATTCGAATATACGACTATTCGAATATTGGACTATTTAACAATGCAATTACTCACTATTCGAATAGTCGAATATTCGAATATTCGACTATTCGAATATTCGAATATTCGACTATTCGAATATTGGAATATTCGACTATTCGAATATTCGAATATTCGACTATTCGAATATTCGACTATTCGAATATTCGATTATTCGAATATACGACTATTCGAATATTGGACTATTTAACAATGCAATTACTCACTTTTTGATTTGAACAATTTAAAATTTCAATTGTTTCAATATTTGAATTGAATGATACAATATACGACGTGTTTTCGGTGAAATTCAGCTTTCAATTAATACAATGCATTTTTGTTCGTATTGTTAATTTAACCCTCTGTAAATTTGCCATTTAGAAAACATCTAAATTATTTTAGTTTTTCTGACTAATACTCTGCATAAAAAATCAAAAATTCGCTTCGTCGTAGAACGTTCTTTTGCGGGAAGTAGAAACTTTTATCAAGAATGATTGTTAGTCGAAAAACGTCATTTTTAAAGTCCCATTTTGTTCTCTTAATTAGGTCCTCTATCAATATTTGACTATTGGAATATTAGACTATTCGAATATTCGACTTTTTGACTACATATTCAAATATTCGACTTTTGGCCCCCCCCAGTAATACTTCCATATAGTTTCTCTCCTGAGGGGGTGCAAAATTTTTTTCGGGTGGTGCAAAACGGTGCAAAATGGGTGCAAAAAAATGGTATAAGTTTTAATCGATTTGGGAATATGGGGGGGGCTAACTTAACTGACCCGTACATTTCTTGGACATTAAACTACCTGTATCTCAAAAACTGCTCATAGGATTAAGTTGTGCCCATGGTAGTTAGTGATCAGGAAGGTGAGATCTATAACATACTAGAATTTGGTTAAATTTGGCGGAAGTCCCAAATCCCATAAGAGGTGTGCTAAAATGTGATCCATGAATATTACTTGGTTAGCTATTCCATTCAGAATTGATTCGGAACAGTTTGGATCTACAATTTGAATTATATTGTTACAATATCGTCCGCCAGGCTGTCAAGAATCGATGGTGCGAATACTAGAATCTAGCGAATTATTCTACTTTAATCTGGAAAATTAGATTATCGTGTGTATTCTAGATTTTACAGGAATTGTAAGTTAAAGTTTGACTGTGATACGAGTTGTGATTATTGAGTTGTAAAGTTTATTTGTTGAGTTAGTTATTAAAGTAATTAGTGTCAGAGTGTATTGCTAAGTGGAATAAATTATTGCTGTGTTAATTGGACTTTGATTTTTGGAATAAACGAAACGAACGACGAACCCAAGATTTCTGTCCGGCGATCCAAAGCCGCGACACTGGTGCCAGAAGTAGGATATAAAGTACTGCAGAGTGAAATCCAATTACGGAAGTGCGGGGACACTAGTGTAGTATAAAAACTGAACACTAAGTGAACACTGGGACAGTTAGTGCAGTGCAAACAGTGACAATCACAAAAAGAGACTCAACCGATCGTGTGAATTACCACGGAAGTGACTCTATACCCGATTTAGACTGTGATAGTGAATCTTCGAGTGAGTTCTAGAAAATTCTATTTGGAAACTAAGGGAAATAGCGAAATTGTGACTTCACCGACGTGTTTGCTGTATCAATCGACATCTAGAAAAGAAGTTTCAAGAAAATTCCAGAACATTATATTCTAGAATAAAGCAAGTTATCCAATTTGTGACTTCACCGGTGTGTTTGGAACTTCGAGCAAAGACCAGAAAAGATATTTGAAGAAAGTTCGAGGGAAATTCTAGAACGTTCTGTATATGCCTATCACAAGACAACAAGCCAAAATGGACGAACAAAAAGTTGAAGAATTTCTGCGCAAAATGCTGGAACTTCAAGAGACCAGACGACAACAAGAGAAACAAGACGAAGAGGCCAGACGACAAAAAGAAAAACAAGAAGAAGAAGCTAGACGACAACAAGAAGAAGCTAAGCGACAACAAGAACGGCAGGAGGACCTTGGAAAACTGCAGAAAATATTCCAAACCATACAAGGAACTGTCGCTAACCTAAGACCAGAATATTGAACAAGTTAAAGACGATGTGCAAGAAGTTAAACACGACGTTCAGGAAGTAAAAGCTGAAGTCAAAACCGATGTTCAAGAAGTTAAAGACAATGTTCAAGAAGTTAAAGACGATGTTCAGCAATTAAGACAAGAAGTGGAAGACCAAGTTCAAGCACTCGAAGATAAGGTGCGTAAATTAGAAATACAGTCCGTCAATCCAGTTAGTGTTGGAACATTCTCCAGTATGAAGATAAAACCACCAACTTTTGACGGTTCTACGTCCTGGACCATGTATATTCGACAATTTGAAGCTGCTGCAAACACCAATGGATGGAACGACCAAGAAAAAGCTACAGCACTAATAGTGGCGCTACGAGGACCTGCCTTAGACCTTCTTCAGTCCATTCCTTCAGTCTACCAACAGAATTACCAGCATCTAAGTCAAACTTTAGAACTGCGCTTCGGAGACCATTACAGACAAGAAGTATTCAGAACTCAAATCAAATGAAGAGTTCAAAAACCCGGCGAGAGTCTACAAGAATTCGAATCGGAAGTTAAAAGGCTAGTGAGTTTGGCGTTTCCTGCAGCTGGGGAAGACATGCAGGAATGGATGGCAGTATCTGCGTTTATTGATGGTCTCCGGGACTCCAAGATCCAGGAAAACCTAAGAATGTCCAAGTTCAGGAAAAGTAGCGAAGCCCTTGTCCGAGCATTAGAGCTGGAAGCAATCTTTGGTGCCTCACGACCCAGAGTACGAGCAGTGTCCATTGAAGACCCAAAAGAGGATGATAGCTTTGAAACCAAAATGAGTAATTTCATGGAGAGAATGGAGAAACTGTTACTAGAGAATAGAAAAATGAGGAACGATTCCAGACAAACACAAACACCGAGAAACCGAGTAAAATGTTACCGGTGTCAAAGGCTTGGACACATGAAATGGGATTGTAGACTAAGGATGTCCTCTCCATCTAGAAATCGTTCTTAAAGCTTTTGGAGGTCCAGAGACGCTAATCCTGAACATCGACCTGGAAACCCACATGAGAGGAACACTAGTCCAGCTGTGAGAAGAACGGGCCTGATTGTTGATGACAAGTGGACTACGAAATAAATGAGAGATCAGGAAGCAGACCAGGACATCGGGCAAATTCTACATCTTAAAGAAAATAATGAATGTAGGCCAGAATGGGGGGAAGTGTCAAACAAAAGCTTGATTTACAAGGCGTTGTGGGCCCAGTGGAACTCTCTGGCCGTAGAAAATGGTTTGCTCAAAAGAGTTTGGGAAAGTGCCGATGGGAAATCCACTAAGAGCCAACTGGTTATCCCAAAAGACCGAGTGGAAGATGTATTAAAAGAAATACACGACGGAACCTCAGGGGCACATTTCGGAGTTAACAAGACTTTGGACAAAATTCGGGAACGTTTTTACTGGGTTCACTACCATGAAGACGTTAAAAGCTGGTGCCGAAAATGCGACATCTGTGCTACCAGTAAAGACCCTAAACTAAGATCTCGGGGGCCCATGAAACAGTACAACGTCGGTCTTCCATTTGAGAGAATAACGATAGATGTAGCAGGACCGTTCCCAGAGTCAGAGCATGGTAACAAATACATCTTAGTTATCATGGATTACTTCAGTAAATGGCCAGAAGTTTTTGCTATTCCCAATCAAGAAGCCATCACTGTTGCCCAGGTGCTAGTGGACGAAGTTTGTAGTCGTCATGGTGTGCCACTAGAGTTACATTTAGACCAGGGACGAAACTTCGAATCTGCCATCTTTAAGAAAGTTTGTGAGATCATGGGCATTCGTAAGACAAGGACATCTTTACACCCTCAATCTGATGGCATGGTGGAACGATTCAATAAGACCATAGAGGAACACCAGACAAAAGTGGTCGCAAAGAACCAACGAGATTGGGACAAGCATTTGCCTCTATTTTTAATGGCTAACAGAGCGGCTGTTCACAATTCAACAGGTGAAAGTCCGGCTAGAATTGTTTTTGGAAGGGAACTCAGGTTACGTTGCGATCTGATGTTTGGAGTACCCGAAGAAGAACGAAGAGAAATCCGAGATTATGCCGACGAAGTAAGGGCACGACTTCTGGGTATCCATGATTTTGCTCGGGAGCATATTCAACTAGCCAGTGACCGAATGAAGACCAGATACGACTTGAAAGCCAATTCGGTCGGATTTAAAGAAGGTGATTTAGTGTGGTTGTATAACCCAGTAAGGAAGAAAGGAGTATCGCCGAAATTGTCTTCAGCATGGGAAGGACCCTATAGAATAATCAAGAGGATCAATGATTTGGTTTATCGAGTCCAGCGCAACACCAGGAGTAAGATGAAAGTTGTACATCTGGACAGATTGGCGAAATATCATGGACGTGAAGTTGATCGGGACGATCAACCTTAAGAGGAGGGCAGTGTTACAATATCGTCCGCCAGGCTGTCAAGAATCAATGGTACAAATACTAGAATCTAGCGAATTATTCTACTTTAATCTGGAAAATTAGATTATCGTGTGTATTCTAGATTGTACAGGAATAGATTTAGGGATATATAAGAAGGCCGGCATTGATTTGTAAGTTAGTTAAAGTTTGACTGTGGTACGAGTTAAATAGTGATTATTGAGTTGTAAAGTTTATTTGTTGAGTTAGTAATTAAAGTAATTAGTGTCAGAATGTATTGCTAAGTGGAATAAATTATTGCTGTG